GGAAGGCTGGGTCACTGTGACGGTATTGTTCTTACGTATCTAGGTGAGCTGGTTTGTTTGGTAATGGAAGGGACAAAGGAATTATCAATGCTGGTGAGGCAAATAACAACAAAGCACTTCATCTCTTTGTTCTCTTTGTTTACTTTGATGCAAGAAGCAAGCAAGCCACCTACACACTTCTCTAGCATCAATTGAGAACTGATAGACACAACGGACAGACCCTGTTTCGCCCCCCTCATAGTCAGCATTGCCAAACCACGACATCATCATCGTCACCACTACGAGTATTACCTGCTCTTCCCGTCCGTCCCTTGCTTACTTACTACTTACCACTAGACCTAGGTAATAGCACTTGTACGAGTACTGTACGAGTACGGGCTCCCTAGACGAGGCTGGCTGGATAATATGGATTTCCATTCTATTTTCCTTCGGTGACGCCGCAAACCACCTCAACCGGTTGGACTCGATGCAAGGGGGGGCCCCCGTAGAGCAGCCGTGGGATCCATGCAGCCCTTTTCCCGCATAGTCCTCGTAACATATCTCATACATATTGCTTGCACATGCACGACTACAGTAACAAACAAACAAACAAAAATAAACAAAGGCGAAATGTCGCTTGCACTTGTCATTGAGCATCAAAGAGATGAAAGGAGCCAAAATATGGGCGAACCCTTAACCCGCGCTTGTACTGTAATATTACTCCCGTCGCAACACGCTCATATATCGTACAGCAACGGAGACGGGAGAGCTTGAATCGCGTTGTTCCCTCTCTCTCGCTCTCTCTCTCCCTCGCTTCCTTTGTACCCCAGCAAAAGCCTGCTGGGAGTAAAGTGCGGGCGGCTAGTATGAAGCACTACCAATCTCGATCCCGGCTGTGAGATTGCGATGCTGCGCGCTTTTGACCCATGCCGAAACCATAGTCTTGCACCAATCTCGCCACGCAAAATCATATGATTTGCTTTTTTATTTATTTTCCCGCCCGAGGCGGTCGTTGACTTGCGGCCGATTTTAATGAATTCGGTCTATCGGGTTTTAAATATCACTTCGATTTCCCATTGTATGAGCATTGATAGATGGCCTGTCTCATTAAGATGAACTGTTATTATACGGTAGCGGTAGCCACTGGTAATTCTAAAAAGTTCATTCGCAAAACAGACAGACACTAACACGCAGCACATGCTCAATATAGCTCGCCATCACAAACCAAGGACAAGAAAGGAAACATGATAAACCTTACTTCTGTCTCAGCCAGCCCAGTCCGACCCAAATACTAACACCAAACAGAGACCCTGCCCCATCTCGTGTGACTTGCATCATTATCCAATTAGTCCAATCCCCCATCAATTACGCTTTCTGTACCTGCATGACCGATGCTACCCTGTTGGTTTTTTGTCTGGTGTTTTACATACATGCGGCTACCCTATCCTATTAATTCAACCCCAAGCATGAAAGCATTGAAACCTTATTCCTTTCGGCCACACCTTCATCTACTTGATCTGTCCAAGCTGGGACACCAGAATGAACTATTATTATCAATTCATCATTTGCCCTTCCAGTTCCGGGTCACAACATACGAGAGCCAAATGTCCCGCTTTACCCCCTTTGCGAAGCGGCACCCGAGACAACACCTCACCCGTCGTGAAACCTCGGTGCAACATCCCCAATTTCCACATGCGCACCTTGTTTTTATCTCTCCCTCTCTCGTAAAACAATGTTTCGTTGTAATAATGCGCATGAAACACGCACACACGCTTTTCTTCCGTGCTTCTTTTTCTCCTGTTCGATGCAACGCTAACAAAAGTACATGACTTGGGCTGCACATAAAAAACAGCCCGCCATCAGGATCCTGTCTGCCGCTTGTAGATCCACCGCATTGTTTGTGGCGCGCTTCCGTTCAATCGCATTGAGGCCGGAAATGAGCGACTTGGCTTGGTCGAGTTAAAATAGCTTCATCTTAACCCACAGTGGCCCATCTTTCGTTCTCAATGGATTACGGAATAGAGGCCGAGAGCACAAAGGCGCCAGTTCGGTGAGCTAGAGGCATTAGCAAATAACTACGAGTACTACGGTGTAGGTGTAGGTCGGTCACGGCGAGCGGTAGCATGCATGCATTTGCGATTTCCACAGCTGGCATGGTGGATAACCCATGATATTAAATCTTCGATTAGCATCTGTGCATCCAAATGAGATCGCCTGACTAGATACTAGATACCCGTCCATCTATTTAGCGCGCCAAGTTTGCCCAGCTCGCCATCCAACTGGTGTCTTGCATGGAAAGCCTTGAGCTTCATCAAGGGCGTTGCCGCCCAATCAGGGCATTGTCAGATCCTTGGTCTATTCCCAATGGGGACAATAACAATGATTTTGTGTTCCTTTCAAGGGAGATTTCCTCCGTGGTGTCTTGGATTCCTCCCGGAATGTTCATGGAGGCGCCCAGGGGTGAATGGATGTTCCGTCGGCAGCGAGAGCGTTGCATCCCGTTCCTGAACCACACTAGCAAACGACATATGTGCATGTCATTGTGTAAAAATCCACTGGTAACCACATCTATCATCTTTGTTTTATCTTCTTTTGTAAATTGTACCCCCATTTCATGAGAGATTTATAGCTTAATCGATATGTCGTAGATATCTAGCAGTACCGCAACACCCGTAACGGTTGCCGTATAAGCCAAGAGAACTCCCATAGCCACAACTGGTGTCGCATCCAATGTTGGGATAGTCATATTGACCAGGCCCGTCAGCAAGTTGGCAATGAGAAACACTGCCAGGCCGTTGCGATTATACGCCTTCAACACAAAGCTCGTGGACGCTTCATACGCCTCCTTCTCGGATCGCGCATCCGCGGCGTTGTAAAATGCGGGGAAGAAGATGGTATCAATGACACAAAAGGCTAGGATCTGCCAGCAGTTGAACGCCGCCACCCAGAGAACATAGGGCAGGTTAGCCAGCCGGCGCGAGACGGTCAAACCAAGTCCAAAGTTGTAGCTGGTAACAATGGTGTACAGCACGGTCCAGATTCCGGCCCAGACTGCTATCGTCATGAGAAGAGTATTCCTCTGCATGCCCGCGGTAGAATTGATGCTTGATGTGATATTCCGGGGAATGATGAATTTGCCGAGGTCTTGTCCGGCAAGAAAGATGGCAAGATAGCCGATGAAGCTAAAGATACCCTCTCGGTTCATGGAGATGAGGTCGACTCTTGGAGCTGTAAGAACAAACCCTTTGAGAGCCGTATTCTCAAGCAGGGCCTGATATGTTCCCACAAGAAGGAGGGCGAGTGCAGCGTGCGAGGGAATAATATCAAAGATGGCCTGGAAGATGGCCACGAATGGCGGGAGAAACCCAAGGGTGAAGAAAAAGTTCCAATGGACGCCATACTCGGAGACATGTTCGGCATACTCGAGCCCTTTGACGCTGAGAAGGCGAATGAAGCCGAGAACCAGGAGTGGGATGGAATGACGTATCGACCGCAGTAGGCGAGTGGCCAGCGGGACTCGGCGACCCGAGGCTCGTTCTTTGAGAACCGGACGAGCTGCAACAATGCCGGCGGAGAAGACAAAGGAGCCAACGCCCATATCCATGAGGGACGTGCCCCAGGTTTCCACCTTGGCAAACCGCCGTGGGAAGAGCCGGAAATCCACGGCAAGAATCGCAACGACGGTGGTGATCATCATGTAGCCGCGATAAGTCGTGAGAAAGGGCTTGATGCTAAGAGCTGGAAGAGGCCCTGCGGCAACCTTGGACTGGGCATTTGGCGGAAGCCTGGGTTTCTTCTTTGAACCCCCGGTGGATGAAGGCAGAAGCCATATCAAAAACGCCGGCGCCAGCAGAAGCAGATTCAACAAGACGGGTGAGTCGGAATAAAGGGTTGTGGCCAGCAGGAAAGTGCCGACGGTGAGTGAGAAGTCGACGACGAACCCAAGAACTGAGTACGGCTTGAAGAATGACTGCCGGGCCTGAAGTACAGACCACAGAAGAACAGCTGCCTGGGTGTCCGGGGTTAGCATCTATGGAGAGTTGCTAATAATTGGAATGAAGCAAAAACTCACGGGCGCGACGAGTGTCACATAGCCGATCTCCGAGACGGAGCCTCCCGTCAAATTGGACACGAAGTCCTCTTTGCGCTGCTTGTAGCTCCCCGCATTAGACATTATGGCGTAGGTATTTTGTTTTTGTTTTTTGCTTTTTTGGCTTCTGAAAAATAAACGACCTATCGCATGATAGCTGAATGACGATGAAACGAAAAGCAAAACGGAGATCTCCAAGCAGCCCGAGCGTTTTGACTCTGTTTCTTTGACGGCTTTTTGGTGCGCTGTCAAGCTGGCCGTTGGTGTAAGCCAATCAGTTCGCGCTTCGTGGACAGTTGGCACCCATAATGGGCCATCACGTGCGCGACACCATCAGTCATCCTATCAACGGCCGGGCAGATGAATGACGATGCTTCTTTCGACAGACCAACAATGAGACGCTATGAGACAAGAACAACAATTAGAAAAAGACAAAAGGTTGTGTTGAAAACTTTTTTCATGCTCTAGAACATACTAAAAGGAATGGCATTGTGTCTCTTTTCTTTGTTCTCCTTGGTGGCATAGCGTAGTGACTTGCTAACCGTGCGTTCTTTTGTCACAAGGCAGCGACATCAACCAACGATGGACTCAAAACTCAGCCAGCCACGTCAGTTCTTTGGGTCTTTGTGATGTGCAGACGTAGAAGAAAAAGAAAAGAAAACAACAGAATCCGTGCATCAAAGGGGAATGCGGGCTCAACATTGCCATTGGTTTAGACGTGGCGTAATCAAAACAAATCGCGTTGTTGTTGCATCGTCAAAGCCTGATGATACCTAATGATCGATCAGTAAAAGGGGCTGGGCCATTGTGATATAACTAGAAAGATATCCCGAAATACTACTCGCATTGTAATCTATAATTCATTTCTATTTCTGGGTTTATACATTCAGCACAGATTTGTTCAAGGCTGAAACATCTACTCACCTTCATCATGTCTTTCTCAAGAAACCGTCGTCAGCATCGCCCTGTCATCGAACCTATCCAGACGGGGCATGCAAATCTCTTATACAAATCGCATGTATTCTCTAGACGGAGACTCAGCCCTTTGTCGGGAGTCGTCTCAACAGAGATGGCTTCTCTTGACTCAGTCGTGTCCAGCGGTTGCCGCACGAGGAGGGAGATGCGATTCGTGGAGAAGCAGGCTCTGCACCGGCTACATATACCAGGAACTACACCCAACGTGACGAGACAAGCAAACCCAGGGTTTAATCCTGTTTATTTTGGGCCATGCGTTCGGCGGCCATCGATTGCTGTCGAGTCACCTTCTTCAGCAAGGGGTCATCACATTCCTGCAAGTCGAGGTGACATCTCTTTGCCATGTTCGCCCACGACTCTTCACATGTCGCTTTCTGTCATTCTGTCAGCCAACTACAACACCCCGGTCTCCCCCTCTTGTGAATCCGATATTCGACGGAGGCACCTTGCAGATTTTCAACGAGCACGCCTAGAACTCTGGCAACAGGGAGCTCAAAGATTTGGCCGCCTCGAAGACGCAGACGTATTCGTCAGGCCACTGCCACTTGGAAAAAGTCATGAGAACATCGGATCACCGTCGAGAGATCCAGACTCGCCATTCACTGTGTCTCTTTCTTCCCTTTTGCCCTCTCCTGCCTTGCCATCCCCTGCCTTGCCATCTCTAACTTCAACATTGTCGAGGCAGTTGTCTGTCCGAGCCATTATCCATTCAAAGTCACACTCGCCCATTGTCTTGAAGCGTGAGTTTGGCCTGGATGATTTGAGAAAAACTATTCCGGATCCTCTGCCCTCCCCTCGGTCACCCAACTTCAATCCTGAGGCCCTGTTGTCCGTTCTGGAGCCATTGAACAGAAAACGAAGGGCATCTTGTTCGCCAGAATCCGACTCCACCAATGCAAGCCATAATGAGAACGATAGTGATGATGGAGACAAAGGGAGTGATGGAGACCCAGAAATGACTGCAGAAACTACGGCTTCCCCTGAACCATGTCGTCGTCCAAGAGTCTCAGCTCAACCTACTATTGTGCCCATAAGTGAGTTTCCTCTTTCCTTATGATTCATACCCGTAGGGGGCTTCAACTAACGAAAGACGCAGATGTTCAATACGCACGGGCACAGTTACCAGCGTTGGCCGCCATCATCATGTCGGGTCGAGTACGACAAGGAGATATGATTGATCTGGCATTGCCTCATCCACAGGTATGGCCTGAGACGGTAGCATATGTCTACACTGGAGAGGCACAGCTTCTCACAGAGCAGACCAAGGAGAATATTCTATATCTGGGTGGGAAGATCTAAAAGGAGGGAGATGTTTGGGCAGCAACTAAGGGTACATATCACAAAAGCAATTTCTTCTTCTCTACTAGATACTTCTTCTTCTTAGACTTATTCTCTTCTCATTAAATGGCGAAAAGTTTACCAAGTTGCATTACTTTAGACTCCCTGTCTTCATAAATTGAATCATTTTCCCATTGTCAAATATGCACTTTACTACCATATCTTCTTTGCTCTTTCATATGCCTTGAAACGTAGATAGATGGACTATGTCACTGTTATGAGAAATTGTTCAAGATGTGAATTAGGTAGTCAATGGTATGGCTTTGATGAACGTATCGCCGATGACATGCGGTATGATCCCTTCAATGCTATTTCACTTTTACCGTGGCATTAGTAATTTGCCAAGATTGTGTAATTCGTCCGATCTCGCAGTGTTCCTCATACAGATAGTGAAGAAGAAGAAAAGCCTTTAACGCTATTTTAAAACAATAAAAGGGCAGTCATAGTCCGAGGCATCTCTCTGTTGTGCTCTTCGAAACCAGCTTCGTATCAGGAAACCTTCAAAAACCGGCGGCGCCAATCTCATCTCAATCTAACATGGCATGCATGCCAAGAAACTCAACCCCAGCGATCCCATGCCGTGTTTCCAAATCCGGGAGGCGCACAAACGCGCAATGACATCAAGATCTCGGCCGGACTCCAAAACCACAAAGATCATCCTCTCTCGTGTCTATGACAGCTCCCCTTTTTTTTTTCTCACCCCAATTCAATTCAGGTACAGTGATTCACGGCAATCAATTGTTCGGTCGCACTCGCGGCCAAAAAAAAAAAAAAGGTATGCTAGGTGCAATAGGAATAAAAAATTGTGCCCGTAATGGAAATGATCCAATTCATCCCGCATCAGCCTATTCTCAAGAATCTGCATCGGCCCGGGTGTTAGTAATGTATATCCATGTACAGTATGGCTCTCACTCAACATAAAACGTCTGGGTTACAATAAATACCATCCTCACCTCATCATGAACCGGGGGGGTTCAGCGGTCAAATAGATCGCCAATCCACGGCTCCTTTTGGGTGTCCTTATTTCTCCGCACTTTTTTTTCTTGTTGTATGGCATGGGAAAGGGCACCTCCCGATCTTGAATTATTCAGAAATCTCCACTTCCCCCATTCTCCAAAATTGCAGCCGCCCCTTTATTTTCCTCATCTGGGAATCCTCGGAGATGCACGACGACGTCAACCGTCCTGCAGTGTAAATCTATTTAAAGCAGTGAGGAAAAAAAACCTGTTTTTCCAAGCCATCGCACGATTATATGCTTCTGCGTCTGTTTTTATGATGACTCGCAGAAAACCAGTTGGGGGAAGCAGCACGGTCAATCACTTTGGCCCTTTGAGGAAGCTTGTCTGCCGCCTTGCATGAGCCATCATGTACGTCAAACGCGATTTGGGTGGCTTCATTTTTCTTGCTTGGCTTTGCCTTGTTCCTTATCGGCAGCCGGGCATCTTTTAAAGTACACGCCTCTCCCGAAAAGAGTAAAAAACCAGGGGTAACGGTAACGCCGCTGTTTGGTGCTAGGTCGATCTCTGGGTGTACGAGTACGATGCATGTACTTTGGCGGTACTTTGTCTCTGCCGTTCCGTCTGTCATATGTCAGATTTTTGTTCTTCTTCCGGAATGTTTACCTCACTGAGAGGAAAGTACCTGCTTAGGGTGGTGAGGAGAGGTGACAGCTTAGTACAACTGTCAATGGGTGTTTCTCGTATGTCCGTGTAAATGAGATGCTTGTACAGCGCCTTTACCCTCGATATGATCTGATCAACATGGTTCGGCGTACAAGAACATGTGAATAGCAACGTTCTTCATGGAGCAGATGTACTTTACGGCCAGACGTGGAGAGTCCCCAGTGTACTACTACAGGTAGAGAGGCTCAGCTCAGCCTCGTTGTGGATCAAGTATACGAGGTTAGATGTATTCTACAAGTAGCTAAATGCTTCTTTTCAGCACTTCCGTCAATAGAAACAATGCAATGACTTACACGATATCAACATCAGCCTTCTACCTCTTGAAAAGCACCATATCATTAACTCAAGTAGCATACGGCCCAGTGCTACACTATGAAACCGGGATTCTCTCACATTCAAAGGACCGATATGACACACATTGGTACTTTAGCCTAATAGCGCTCAAAGATTCTCTAGGTGACACTGACAATGAAACTTACAGGTACATTTGGTGCAATCTTTTACTTCAACTTTTGTTTGACCTGCCTCCCAATACAACCATACAAGGCTGATAATTTAATTAATCCCTTGAAAAATCTTCAACATCTTCAATACAACCGTCTCACAGATAAGTAAAGATCAGCCCGATGGCAGTACATATTGCGAAGGCTGGCGCAGCATTCATTGTGGTGACCCCAACTTGGTACAATGCCGTGAATACGCCGACAGCTAGCAGAGTGTAAACACCATCCATCGTATTCATCGTATAATACCTTCGCACATCATCATATAATTACAAAGCATGATTGTGTTTCAGCGGTCCGTACTATCCATGTATCTATGTCTCATCGCAGTCCCGTCGGCAAACTTGCTCGGCGTAGAATAGCAGTCTATGTACCTACCATCTTAGCTACACGTAGAGTCACACGAATGAGCGCTTGAACACCAGAATACGCTATGAACTGATATCTTACACTTTCATTTCTCCCCCGCCGTCATTGGTTGCGATGTTACTCTACAGATTAGAAGCATGCCGCTTCAACACTCAGCTGGCCATGGAGAGAAGTCACTGCTGCCTAAAATCTTCATCTTACATTTTATCCCCCTTTGAGATATCGGATTGATGGACAATGGGTATTAGATAAACATCTCAAATACGAATCCACAGGGTATTTGTAATGAATAACAAGATACAGCATCTTGTTCAGCCGACATCTACGTCAACAAGCAGGTCGCCAAGAACCGCAAAGAGTACCAAATAGGCGGTCATTGTGCAGAGAAAAAAAATTATAAATTAAATTTAATCAAAGGAGAAAGGAAAGGAGCACATATATTAATTACCCGTTCATATACCCAAAATGTCGGCAATCTCATTATCCATTCATTCATATCTAGTACATATGCACATTCTTAATTTGCATGTACTTTGGCATTCGCCTCCCGTCAACACCATCCCTACCCTATTGCAACATCTATCTCATCAACGGTGCGAATACCGCGTCATAAGGGAAATCTTATCAATACGTTATCACGGCCCTAGACTCTAGCAGAAAGCGTCCGCAAACTTGCCTTTGTTCAATGCGATGGCGGTCGGAGGTTACGGGAAAGGTTACAGCTGTACTTCGCCAAACTCGTTGGACAGCATACCATTCGCACTGCTATTCAGCCCAATTCACAGACATAGTATAGTACCTAGGTAGTCTACTCGTACGATATCACTTCGAACCGCGATAAAGGCTGGGAAAGGAGATCTCATCTCTGACAGCGTATACTATCGCTGCAAGGTCAAGATCTCAACAAATTTTCACACATGGATACCCGGTCGTCAGCTGCATGGTATGAGCTGATAACAGCTATAGTAGATGAGCATGGACAAGGGATTCCGCATTGGCTCTGGGCTTCTCCGTTGCCTCACAAGAGCCTTGTTCATAGCGCGAGCCTCAGCTTGTCAGCTACGCGGCCTCGACTCCATCTTGCCGCAAGTATCACTCAGCTCTCAAGGCCTGTGCCCGCAAACCTGCCCGGCTAAGAAATTTGGCTTGTGGGCCAGGATTATTACATCTTTGCAGTGTGGAATCAAAACTTGCGCAGAATTTCCCATTATCCCTAATGCCTATGAAGCCAAATCAACGAGCTTTGGGCTGAGAAACGACCGAGTCGAAACGCCATCCAGTCCGGGCCTCGTAGAGCTCCGTACAAGAGCCCCGTGCTGGACCGACGTGCGAAGCGGAGGGGGCCGATGGCCTCCGGTCACGCCACGCAGGCGCGCGACCAACGCCCTCCGTTGAGAATCATGCAACATGTGTTTTACAATTCGCATTGTGCACTTGTTGCGGCTAGGCTAAAACAACGACACCCGCGTTCCGGATGGAGCGGGCCGGATCGCATCGCGGCTACGGTTGAAGCTTCGGGCGCCTTCCGTAGTAACGACCCCTCCAAGCTTGATGGGTGAGGACCTCGCTTCTTCGTCTCTATCTTGTTTGAATCGGCGAGCGGGCAAGAGCTTCATGGCAGAGAGCATGGCCACATCTAGGAGTGGCCGGCGTTATCTCCCCCTCTCCGTCGGCATTATCGTGACGGTTGACTGTGCGTGCAGCTGTTCCGCGGAGACGGCTTCCCCTTTGGCCGCACACACATCAAGACTGTTGCGGAGAGGCACGAAAGCAAATCGACGCTGGGATTCGTCCGTCTAGGCCGCGAGAGGGAGCGAAACTGAATGGAGACTGAATGGGACAAAGATCCCGGCCGAACCGTCCATTGTGGACACTTGCTCTGGGCGAGGAGCCTGTAAAATTGTGCCAGGTGCTTTCGATGCTATGTGCGCATGTACGAGCATGTAGGCGGCTGGCACTGCTCCATCCCTCGCTCGTACAAGTCGGGTATTACTCTGCACATTGACAGGAATGCTGCCTTTGTGTACAGGTAATATTGTAAGCCGCCTCCACAGTGGAACTGGCAACGGCCCAGTCAGGAAGCCAAACGGCGAGCTGGGGTCCGCTATCAGTCGCTCGCGATTGCTTAAACGATGGCGTTGCATGCACAACGAGTTTTGCCGTCTGCAGAGGGAAAGGACCAGAATTATGCCATGGCAGACAAGGTGGTGGCCGGGCATACAAGGCCCTAGAGCCGATTTGCTAATGGGAACCTAAAGAAAAAGAGCTCATTAGCCGTTATGCGGTTGGTTGCGCATTGCATGGCATGGACTCTGCTCTTGCACGCACATAGGCATACCCCTTTGGCCTCGAAACACTTGCAAGTAAATGTACAAATCCCTCTTCCCCGAGGTGCCAGACTAGTATACTCGTAGTATAGCAGTCTGTAAGTATGTACGGAGTAGGTACTTGCGCAATGAGCTGGGTGTGTGTCGAGAGCGTGGGAGGCTGTTCAAAGACAGACCCCTGGACACGTTGGTCGCCACTTATGCCGCGATGGCTAAAGTCGCATCGTTAGCAGTCGTTGTCCTTCTTGGACTCTCTCTGAGCAACGCAACTCCATACGGAGTACTCATGTAGTAAGAGGCCCCCCCATCGAGGAAACACAAGACTGCCGAAATGGTCGACTTGCGTTACGGCTAGGGTTTGGGGAGAAGAGCCTGCGCTTCCGGGACGCTCGAGCTGGCATAACCAGAGGGCCTCAACATCAAAGATGAAAGATGACCGCCCCATCACGCCAGGCTACCCCGTATCTGGGCCGCCAGCCATCAGATATGGAGGCAGATCATCGCCGGTGCGGAGCATTGCGTCCCGCCATGGAGCCTCGGACGTGGACGTCGACTTGGACATTGAACTTGGCTCGAGACGCCACGACAATGGAGCCCGGTAGCACAGCAAGAGCCCAGAATAGAGACGAGCGCTACAGTATAATTGCAGGTTGACTTGCAGCCAGAGCGCGCCAGTCGGCTCGTCGAGGACGCATCCGTGCATCGTATAGCAGCGTCCACTACTGCCAAACGATGGCGAGGCGAGGCGAGCACAGCATTTGGCGGAGATGAACGGCGCAGCAGTACAGCACAAAGAGGCCGCGATCCAAGACGATGAGCCAATTGGACTAGCCGGGGCCCCCCCTTTGCCCTGATCCTTGGGGGTTGCTGCAGCAGCTCGGGATGGCACTGAGAAACAAAGTGAGCGCTGGCGCATTGGATGTCAGCGTCAACCGCCAGATCACAGATCAGTTGCTGCAGCGCCGTCACCGGAGGCACAGGCACAGGAACAAGCACAGGCACGATTATGTCTGGCATGGCATGGCATGGCGAGGCCGTCCGAGGGATGGCGGTCAGCTTCTTAACGCTGGAAGAATCCAATGCAAGATGCTGCGCGCCTGGCCTGAGAGATAATCCAGGACGGCCAGAAGGAGACGGCGATAATATTGACAGATCAGAGTGGATTGTGGATTTGGGCGGCTCAAGGCGGTTAGTGGGCGGCGGGACTCACTGAGGCTACAGGGCTCGAGAGCCACTCACGGGGAGTTGCAGCGGTGCTACTTGGCGGCAGCGCTTCAGTTCAGACAAGGCCTGGAAGCCTCAAATCTCGTCCGCACCGTCCATAATACCGAGATGTCGGTGCATATGTTGCGTGTAACAAGCCTCAACGCCATCAATGTCTGTCCGGGCAACGGCCCAAGCACAGCAGCCAACGCGATTCGAGTACCTATCCAAGATCCACGATACTTACTCTAGGTCCCATGTCAAGAAAGAAAAAAAAGGGCCTGTGCCTGGCAGCGAACAGCTCAGCGTGCGACTATCGTCAACAGCTCCATAGCGGCCCCCAGTTGACCATTCCTCTCCCCCCGCTGACCTGCGTGGATGGAGAGAGCCAAGCAGTTCTTAATCTTGGTTCCCCTGGCGCCAGCAAGCATCGCCAGAGTCCAGACGAGCCAGGGGCCTTGCCAAAGGGCTCAAAGAAGGGACACCTGGAAGAGTCCATCGACGCAGCTAACGGGCGGATATACTTGCTTTTGCCTGTACAGAACGCTGATCTTGCAACCCGCGGCCGTTATCCGCACAAACCACGGAGAATAAGCAGGCAGGTTCTTTGTGTTCCGTGCAAGCATTGAGGGCGCGATAATACGTGACCAAGGCTTATTCTGTGCAAGCCCGAGACGCGGTGCTGCACTGGCAAGGTTCATAGTTGGCATCGCGGGATAGTGCTTGTCGCACAAGGTGAAGCTTCCCAATAGAGCACAGGTCCGGGGTATGTGTACGGACCGGTAGCTGTCCGCGCAGGGGGAAGCGATGGAGTCGCCGTCGACATGGAGAGCTTACATGTACAGTAGTGTTACCTACGAGGACCTACCTGTACCATCACTGCCTGGACAAGTACCATTACTGCTCGTACGAGTAGAGAGAGAGCTGCAGCCCGTGCTTGTACACCTCCTCCACCATCTTGTTGAATCCTTGCTCCGACTTTGAAAGTCGTCTCGGCAAGTCGTTGGCTTCTGACCTGACGGATACATACAGGAGCATGCAAGGAGCTGTAAACAGCGAGTCCGCGTCGGCCTACTCCGGAGCACAACGGCTGGACTTTACTGTATGTGCAGAAGCAATTGAGCAGTCGTCGTAGGCTTTTGTCGTTGAGCCTCTTCTTGCCGACGATTTTTATTGCAACTCAAGTAGCACGGGTACTAATCTACTACAATCCTTACCTACCAAGGTAATTGGACGTTGATAGGGACTTTGGTAGTACATACAAAGCGGCAGGGTAAGACTATCGATGGAATGGACCGAAAACAATAGAAGGAAAAATACCGTCCAGGGCCCGGCCACGCGACGCAGGCAGGGGAAAAGCGAGACAGCATCGGAACAATGCTACAGACACGATAGACGAGAAGGACCCTGAGATTCCGCCGCCGCTCGCTTACAGGTACGCCTTCATCCACCTTGACTCGGTATCTCAAAGGTACCGGGCGGGTATCGTCGTGGCAGAGAGGCCATCGCGGGTTCTTTATATGATGCTACACCAACTACCGGGAGGGTACTCGTCGTACACGGCACGGCTCGAAGCGACATGTACCTCGCGAGGGTTTTGACGCTTTCGCCGCCGGGACCTCGTCGAATCCATCTTGCCCCCATGTCTCCATGCTCCATGCTCGCCCCCAGGCTGTCTGTCCATACCGCCTAGACCGAGAGGCCCCGAAACGGACATGTCGCGGGTTCTGGAAAGACTCGGTGCTTTTTCGAGCTGCAATGCTTCAATTACCCGTACAAGTGTCCAGGTCGTTGTAGGCACCGGGTAAGGGGGACCTTGTCGCCTATGTCAGGCCCTTGTCAAGGTTGATGCATCCTGTGTCTGTGCGTGTGCGTGTGCGTGTACATGCTGCTGCTTCCTCTCCATCGTCGAGGGGGCCTCTATCGTATCGGCAGACGCGCCGTCAGAAGCAGAAGCAGCTCCTGGGATTCTACTGTATGTACATACATAGGAGTCTAAGGAGCCTAGGGTTCTGGGACTGGGACTCTAGGATCCTACCAGGACCTGCTGCAGAAAGGGTCCCACGGCCTGCATCTCGTTGGCCCGGATGCCCCTTTCTCTCAGCCGCGGTGCTTGCATCGTGGAAGCCGCTGTTTGGATCCCGAACTTTGTCCCGCCGCCTTTTTTTTTCTCACCGTTGCCAGCAAACACAGTGGGAAAAAATGAGAAAGAATGGCATCACCGTCTGTTTTTTCTGCAACGACGAGCACGAATATGCTGTTGGTTGTGTTGACCGGCGACTCTCAAGCCAGAAACGGCGGCGCGTACATGAGGCAATCCACACATCAGGCCCACAGCGTCTGCTCTTCTGCCTTATCAGAGGCGGCTGTCAAAGTGAGGTGTTGCACCACTTGGACTCCCCGTACATATACGACTGTCGTGCAACGGCCATGTTAGTCGCTGAGGCCGGGCCGTTGGTTGCCATGATCTACCGCCGCCGTCCGTGGCGCGGACCAGCCGTCGCCCGAGAGTCCAAAATAGCCAGGCACATGCTTTTCATGGTTTGGCCAAGTCATCATCCCTCGGGCCGTCACCGTCGAGACGGCCTGGCTCTCGAAACGACGTGTTCATACATGTACATACATGGCTCGTACTCGTACGAAGGAGACGGCAGCTACAGCAATTTGCCAAGGTAGGTACAGATACATACATGCAACTCGCATCCGCGATGGCTTGATACAAGGTAATCTCATCTTGCGTTCCAAGGCGGACATGGATGCCAGGCGACATGGTCCATATTCGGCGGAGCATATGCGACAAGGCGCGATAACGTCCACAGTACCTGCATTTAAACGCCAGGCAGAGCAACGGCAAAAGTCTTGTTTTTTCCTTCCTTGGCCCTCCAATCTGGCTTCTAGACGGTGTGTGAGACGTCGGCGGAATTGCTATGCAAGGCATCTCCAACCTGAAGCCGGCACGTCAACAGCAAGGGTTTCCGGGCACACACGCTGCCAAGTTCCGTCAATGTAATTTTCGTCCTCTTGCTGCATCTAGAGTAGTACGCCACACTCAAATGGAGCGGCCGACGTCCTACACACCGTCTTGGATGTAAGATCCAGTTGTAAGAGGCAGCCCGGCCGGGTTAATAGAGCAAAAGACGACTAAAGGTTGAGGGGAGGTCAAGTATAGATTGCGTGACGGTGCAAAAATTCGCAGCCTCAGGGTAGCATTGAATACCTATCCGTTGCAAGTAAAGTAAAGTATCAAATCGCTCTGTGCTCTATGTCTGGTAGTTCGGCGGCTTTTGTGCTTAGCCAGCTGCCTATCCGAACGAGTCGCAGCTTGCATTGGCATCGTGGATCTCAACACCAACTTGGCTTGCCCTTTGCTGCGAATCGCGATGCCTCGCTCGTCCACACACACACACACACTTTCAAAATTTCTCTTTGCTCTTTATCTCTAGTAGCTCCCACTTACACCCCCAACACCTTCGTTTGCGGCCTCGCATACACATACGGCAATTGCTTGCGCTGAAACGCCGTCTGGCTCGATGATAACAAAGTTGCAGCGCAGAGTGCATCTTTGCCAGCCAGGGAGCGGGCAGGGCAGGGCAGGGCAACGCAACATAACGCAACGCAACGCAACACCGCACAACACACAACACAGAATAACAACAGCAACAACACGCAACGCAGCGCAGCATCCTGTAAACGCAAGACGCAGAGCAACCCACCAGTGGCCAAGCGAACAAGACAAAAGACAAGAAAAGACAAGAGGTATGTACATACCCTGAGCATGTCTCTTTCGGTTGCTCCAATCCATGTGAAGGCTTGACTTGAATCGAACTTTGACGCCGAACCCTGCCCGCCCAGTTTATCCGTTATTGCGCCTCTCCATAGTCTCCAATCTCCAATTAATCTCGAAAATCGCTGTTGGTATGCTGCCCTTGTCCTCGCCTCCCGCATTTGCTAGCTTCCCTGGCGCATCGCCCCACGACAGATTTGACTGCTCGCAAACGCTCGCTTGGCTTGGCTCAACCAAGGACCCCCCCGGCCCCCATCCTATCGACGGTTCTCGAGCTTGCGGGCAAAAAAGGCCATGGCGGCTGTGAGTGGCCAGTCAGTTCACTGGAAGGCGAAAAATTACAGAAACAAGAGCACACAATATGTATCCACCCTTGCCAACAAGGACAGCCAATTGTCCGTCTGGCCGTCAAAGAGAAGAGTCACAGCTGACTCCCAATAAAAGCAAGCACCAGGAAGCGTACTCGTAGTTGTATCGAATGAATGAATGGCGATGCCAAACAAAGCTCACGCCACCAATGGCACATGTGTGCTAGTAGCAAATCGTCCAGAATCTCCCCCTCTTCGCTAAACGGCTAGGCGAGCCAGACTTCGTACATGCGAAGCAAAAAGTCGCTAGCAAGGCAGTAGTAGGAAGCAAACCGTACAATTATCTGCACAATATCCATGATATGGGGCCCCGTTTAGCGCGCCGTGCGGGCGAGGATCAAATTGGATCATTTTTACTCAATGCTTGATTTGAATCCATGGCTATCGGTAGCTGCGGTGGAATCAATACTTGTACTACTGCCAATGTACCTATAGCAGCGCAACCTTGAATACCTGACTGTAGATGCTCAATTACACCAACCTCATCAAATCAAACCATGTATATTCGGGCGTATGTATGCTCACATCACTTATCTTACAGCACCTGTCCCTGTAATACTGCCAGGTAATAATAATGATAATGACAATAACCATCGAAAGGTCCAAAGTCCGTCCAGGTCCAGGACAAGACGCAGAAAAAGGTCCCGCCGCCGGTCGGGCATTGTGGAGCGGCAGAAGTTACTCGTAGTATTTTGTGAAATTGAGTAAAATGAAGCCCGAGTCTCAACTCCAACTCTTGCCCGGCCGCTAGCCCCAAAGCAACGCGGTACAAGCTGCAACATGGCCGTGAATTGCCCCCATAGCCGCACCCCTCCCCCCAATTCTGGCGTCTGGTGCTTGTGCAGCGCAGGCCGCCCTCCTCTCTACCTAGGTACTCCCCCATATCGTGCGCCCACACCCCCCTCAATACTGTACCTGCCATTACCTGCAGTGGGTTGTACAAATTGCAAAGCCCAATTGAACATTGACCCTACAGGTACCCCCCGCCGCCCATCTCCTCCGCTATGGATGACCCTCTGTAGCACCCACTATCCACTAACCCACCACCCACACCTTTTGGCGCCATCCAGATTCTCTAGGTGGGCAAATGCTACCCTACGTGGCCCCTGCTGCACTGCCAATAATACCCTGGACTGCCTTACCTTAACTCGCACATCCATCCAATCCATTGATCCATCTTCTCATCCTGTGCTTGTACTACGAGTACTTGGCTTTGTACTTGTGTAGGTACATCCATCCATGGCATGCATCTGGCCTCGACGTCCTAGCCAGACCCTCCGTCTCCATGCTCATGCATGGCATTGGCCTAGGTCATATCGGAAGCATGCTTGATGGCGCCGGGCCGGTTAGTCTACACCACTCGTCGTATCGTAAGGTCTTGCAAGGTACAGTACTAGACTATCGTATGGGCCTTTTTGGTATATAACTGCCGTCGAGTCGATCAACGTGGCTGCCATGCTGCTCTTCTCCCTCACGACCTCTTCCTCCTCTCCTCCCCTAATTTAATATCTCTACCCAGAGGATTATCTAGGCTGCTTGGACCCTGCAATGCAAGAGTCTGACTCCTAACTTTGTCTCTTCCCCGTTCGTTATACTGGTGTTTGTTTTTTTTTACGATTTTTTTTTCTTCGTTGCTCGTGGCCCTCCTCGCCTTTGACCTTTTGACATCAAACTTGACTCGCCCGGCCTCCTTCCTGCTTCCCCTCACAGCCTCGCCTTGCAAAGTGGAATTTGTACATATATTGCTTGCCTCTTTCCTCCTTCTCTTGCAGCGCATTGGCGGTCTGGACCTCAGGAATTTGGGCTTCTCTTTTGCCTGGCCTCTTTGGGAGCTCCAGTTTGGGTTAGAACATTCGCTTGTCACTTGGGCAGCAGGAATTCGCCTCACGCGCGGTGGCAGCTGGCAGAATCGAGAATCCGGGGCATCTGCAATTGGAGATAGCCTTCAGCCTTTTCCTCTTCTTGTTCTTCTCTTCATCCTTTCCAATTGACTGCAGATTGAGAGACGGGAGACGGAAATATCTGCCCTGTGCCGTATAAACCACGCAGGCTTCGTCCTCTCTCCTCTAGTCGCGCAACCTCCATCTCTCCTCAACGCCTTGTCCTCTCCTCTTCCCTCTTGAACAAGTCAAGCAGCGAGCAAAGCTCCCCATGAAAACATAAAGATCCCTGATATACGCGACAAGAGAAATCTTATCCCAGCAACCCTGGCCGCCCCACATCATGGACAAGTTTCTTAGTGAACTGCCAGCCAAACTGGCGCCCCTGGTCACCTTCAGATTGCCTAGAGTCGAGTCCGATATCTGGCAATCGACAACATTCTGGGCCTACATCTTCTGGATCCTCTGGTTAGTTGGCTATGCCCTAATATCATTTATTCCCTAGCTGCCCTTTCTTCTCTTCAATTGAGTTTATCAAAAACTAATACCCCACTGCGTTTAGGCTGCATCGCTACGTCCGGCTGCTTGTCCACTGTGTCAGCCATTGGACCTACAAGTCGAAGCCGATCCCTAGCAAACCAACATTTACAAACGACGACGTCACGGTCATTATTCCTACCATTCATAATGTGTTTGAGGAGCTCCGCCCGTCGCTGCAAAGCATCCTTGCCTGCAAGCCTGCCGAGCTGATTCTTGTCACCACCCACGACAAGCGCAAGGCTCTCGATGAGCTGGCCAGGTCTCTCAACTACCCCAAGGTCCGTGTCATGCACACGCCCATTGCCAACAAGCGCCTCCAGGTCTGCGAGGCTCTGCCCAGCGTCGAGACTCCCATTACCATCATGGCCGACGACGATGTCTCGTGGCCGTCGACGCTGATGCCCTGGATCCTGGCCCCCTTTGAGGACCCCAAGATGGGCGGCGTTGGTACCTGTCAGCGAGTCAAGCGTGAGTGGACAGCTCCCTGGTCGGTGCGCATCTGGAACTGGCTGGGCGCCGCATACATTGAGCGCCGCAACTTTGAGATCTCGGCCACGCACAACATGGATGGCGGCACATCTTGCATGTCCGGCCGCACTGGAGCGTACCGATCGTCCATCCTCAAGAGCCACGACTTCCTCGATGGCTTCAAGACGGAGAAGTGGAGAAAGTGGATCCTGAATGCTGACGACGACAACTTTGTCACGCGATGGCTGGTGAGCCACCAGTGGAAGACTTGGATCCAGTATGAGCGCGAATGCGAGATTGAGACAACTCTGGAGAACGGCCCCAAGTTCCTGTATCAGTGCTCCCGCTGGGCGCGTAGCAACTGGCGAAGCAACTGGACCAGCCTGGTCAAGGAGCGGCACGTGTGGAGGTGAGTTGGGCCTTTGAGCCGTCTAAAATCACTAAAATAGCGCCAGCGTACTAACGAAAATGACTTGGGAATACAGACAACAGCCCTGGTGCACCTACGCCCTCCACTTCGCGACCTTTACCTCCATCGCCTTCATTGTCGACCCGCTTTTGCTTGCCTCGTGCTGGTGGGCGACGGCCGAGTGGAATCTGCAGTACCGACACTATGCCTTTTGGGCCCAGTTCATCTTCATGTTCGCCTTCACCAAGTTTGTCAAGCTCATGGGACTTTTGTTGCGAAACCCCAGCGACGTCGTCTTTGTTCCCATCTCCATTGTCTTTGGATACTTTCACGGGCTCATCAAGCTCTATGCCCTCTTTACTCTTAACATGGTTAGTACTTGTCTTGCCGGTAGAAGAAAGAAGCAGCAACCTGACTAACATTTTCATCTCCAGACGTCTTGGGGTAGTCGAGCTGACGGCGATGCAAATGATGCGCAGCGGCTCGCGCCGGCGCCACGACCATCAAAGGTATTGACGACTCCTCCTGGTGCTACCTCGCTCATCCGCTACAACGTCCGTCAGAAGGGACGACAGACGCAGACGCGGACCGAGCAGGATTCGGCGTGGGAAAAGCGTGGATACGCTGCCTACGATTCCAGCACTTCGTACAATCCCATCAGGGTCGCCTCCGAAAAACAAGAGGACTTTGGCGTGCAACATAACCACGACCAGCCACACTCGATGCGATTCAGCAACACTGCCGAGTAATGAAGTTCATGAACAACTCCCCTTTATTATATATATTTGCTTCTTCTACTACTTTTTGGGCGTCCTTTTGTTCTTTTTTTATTCCAAAAGGACCAATCACCCCCCTGGCTTGCTTGTCCAGTTGGGGATTTGATTTTATGCGAGCTACGAGAAATGACATGTTTCACAGGATCTTGGGTTTGATCTCCTTCTATCATGAGATTCAGGCATGGTAAATAAGGTATGCCTTGTTCTTTTTTATTTTGGGCTGTTCAGGGCGGGGTGGAAACAAACAAATTGCGCCACGGCGGGATATCTGCAGCAGAATAATGGGCCTGCTTGCAACAATTGGAACATATGGGACGGAATATTTGGGACGGAATGGACGGAACGGATGGAATCTTGGGTTGGCTTCTAGGGGCTGCGTGGTGTTGTGATCACCAGGGCATGCCAAGGGGGGACTTTCATGGCTGTTGACAACAGGTGGCGTTGAGATTTGACCCATCAGGCGTTGATTGCTTAGACTGCCCTTTTTATTTTCCTTTTCCTTTTCTTTTCTTTTCTTTTTTCTACTACTATCATTTCATCTTCTTTTCTCATCTCAACGGAATATTGGGGGACGGGAGGGACAGGACGGGATTCACAAAAATAAAAGATGAAAGTCGCCCGGATTAGCATATCACACAGAATGGCATTTTAACACGACATGATTTTTTTGTCGTTGGGAAAAAATCTCTACTGCGGAACTACCTAAGTAATAGAATTGGTAATTTCTCTGGCAAGCCGAGCCCAGCCGTGTGGGTACTGGACACTTTGTGAATGTGGCATACGCGTGGCACCGAGATGTCTTGGGAACCGTTGACAAGGTGACACATGGACTTCACATGGCAATTTAAGTTTGCCCTGTCTCACTTGCTAGACGCCAATTGGCCCGATGGAGGGGGTTGAAGGCTGCAGACGGTGTACTGCCATTGGTCGCCACCAGATGACAAGCCTGGGGAGGCTATCTTTAGTAAAAAGAGAAGTTATTGGA